GTTTCAACAAGGTAATGGAAAGTAAGTAACTGGTATTATTGCTCAAATATTTTAGGAAGTGGTCAGTAAATTTAATTAAGAGAAAGAGACTTTATAAAAAATGTGTAACAAAATCAATTGTTCTAAGCCTTTATGCTGTTTAGCTGGAGTTTTCAAAGGAGCCTAAGGGGGTCAGTGCCCACATCCCACTGAATTTCAATGGGTACCTAACTCTTTTAAGCTCCTTTGAAAATCTCAGTCTTAAAAAGGATATATTCTAATGCTATATAATGAAACAAACATATAATGGACTACTTGAAACACAAATTAATACAAGTTGTTGTTGCATCTATCACTAAACAAAATATTATAATTCTTATAATATAATAAAGAATGGATGTTTCTTCTCAGCAGCTTTGATGATCTCAACAAGAAGTTTCTCTTTGGCCACAAGTAAATTGCTATAACTTGAATCTTTTGGAGGAGGAAAAGAAGAGATATGAATTTGAAAGTAGAAGAGGCTTTCCATTGAGGGCCTTCTCCCTTTCAGAAAGAAGCCACATGCTGATTTGCTCTTGAGAGCCCTGGAGTGGTTGAACCATCAGCAGCTTGTGATACTATCAGAGCCAGGTAGGGAGGGGAAGAAATATGCACCCTTCTTCTGCCAAATGTTTGGGAAGGTGAAAAGAAACCAATAGGTTATTATATTGTAAATTTATGCTGGTTATTGAAATTATAAACATCAATGTTTATAAATAAGTATTACATATATGGGTCATGTTATACCAAAAAAAAAAAAAGACACTAGAAGAATGCTCTTCTTCATAGTATTACAAAAACTAAGTGTAAGAACTTCCAAATTCCATATATTTTTCATTATGAAATGATTATTTTTCAGAAACTACAGACTGCTCTGATAAATATGCCATGAACAAAGGGGATAGGATGATACAAGCTTTTCCATGTTCTGTTTGTGCTCAAATTACTGTTATGACCATAGCTGGGTTCCCTAAACAAAAACAGGCAGATCATTATTCATTAGGATGGACTGTCAGTGAATTTGCCAGAAACTGTTTATCTATGACATAGTTAATACTTTATATTAATATAAAAGCCATTATGTTGGCACTCAGACATATTTCAAAGTAGCAACTAGTATAATCAACTAGCCATTTATACTCAAATTTATTTTTTTACATATAGCCATGTTTATGTGGTTATCCAATCATATCAAAATAAATACAAATTTGTGTTGAGAATTAGACTTCAAAAACTTAAAACTTCTCCACTGCTCTAGTGATCATTCTCGTCAATCTGCTTTCAATCCATTTATGCTCCATTCATACCACCAGATAAGTGGTTCTCATAGAAATGAACGAAGGGATTTCAAAACTCTATGTATATTGTGGAGTGCCTTTCAGATTTTTGAATGACATATCTGTGGGACTAAGTGAAAGTTTTCCTGGGTCTTGTAGTATAAGAGCAGGACAGAGAGACTCCTAACCACTAGCCCCAAAAAGAAGAGACCTGAATTGATTTAGGGGATATGGGACTCAAGATTGCCCCATTCAGAAGAACCGTGATTTTAGAAGTGAGTAGCATAAAGAATAGACATATACATAAGTGGCATTCTCCCTCCTGTGAAGACAACACTTCAGTAAAGAAGTAAATTGGTGATGGAAGGATGTAGTGGCCTTCTTGGAAGCTCCTCCATCACCAAACAAGATTGAACTTTCCTTAGTTGCCCCCACGCCACCCCGCAAAAAAGTGGGTTTTGGTAGGAGGAATGAGTTTTGCAAAGGGGATGGGAGCTCTTATTTTAAATAAAATGGTGCATTTAAGAACCGTCCTATAATTCTGCTAAAAATCAAATCTGTATTACTATATTAAGAAGTAATGCACATTCAATAGGTATCATGATTAAATCAAAGTTTTTATGTAGTATAATTTGTTATTTTGTAATAAGTCTATTAGGCAAGCAGTTCACTGGCAAAGTAACTGTCCCAAACTTGTCAATTTTGGAAGACCTTATTTAGAAATCCAGACAATATATGCATTTTGCAATATTCTGTGACAGAAATATAAAGCATACAGTGGGCAGATACTATGTTATAAATTATGTTATTAATTCAGATGTAATCATCTTAAGAAGAGGAAACAGAAAAATCAGAACCCATGTTTTCTGAAATATGTAGAAACTCAACAAAAAATTGTCCCCAGACTACAGATTTTTGGCAGCATTTGCCGCTATCACTATTGAAATATACATACTTAAAATCCCAATAACGCTAACCTGAAATTTCTGTAACGGATATGCTGTAAAAATCATATTACGATGAACCATGAAGCAGAAAGGGTATAGGAAATTTAGTGCAAAATTGAACACTCATGAGCTCTGCTAAATGTATTATCTGCTTCATTTACATGTCAATATACAGCCCTATTTTAATTTTTTTTTAAACTCCTTAAAATAAACTGTTCCATGTCCCTATTAGTACTAAACAAAATATCATTAAATTAGTTTTACACATGTATCTTAAGAAATAAACAAGTCACCTCTGCTGTTTAATAGCATCAAGTTAACTGCTATGATTTGGGGCAAATTATTTAAAGAAGTAGTATGCAAACCTTTTTTTTAAAGCTCGTACTATTTTTATTCAGTGCAGCTGTGTCAAAGTTCCTTACATGAAGATGAAACTACCTTAGGTTAGATTTTTTTTAAAAGAAGTTGTAAGCTCATTATTCCCATTAAAGTGCTGTCTATTGCTTTTAATGTCAACTAAGGTATCTGAGAAACAAACATCAAGTACAGTAGCTGTACTGATTCCTTCCATAGACCGCTCTGTAAGTCCTCTACTTTGTAATCCACAGTAAGACATGCAACTCATATTCAGGAATAAATGGATTTCTTTACTAACTACCAGCAGCTTTAAATGGTATTTCCTATGGCATGTGCAAAGAAGCATAATCCACTACTCCTTTTTCCAAAATCTGTCTTATATAACAGACTGCAAACACTGTCTCTGAAGATGCGATCGCACATTTCTATATTGCAGCATTCACCATATCATGTGCCTCAAATAGCACAGTTCTGGGCCACTGATCAAGTTCTGTTAATAAGGATTATCTAATAGACATTCTCTCTCCAGTTTGCCTATTTGGATGGGTATGCATGCAAAGCTCTGAAAAGATAAACTCATTTACACACTGAATAGGATAGCTGCACAAACTTTGCACAGCATTGGTCTTAAAGAACCATCTGAGGATTTATAAAATTGTGTAAGTTTTGTTTATTTATCACAGGCCTCCCAGTCTTTTGCAATTAAACTGCTAACATAAAAGGATTCATGCAAGCTCTAAAGCAATGCTGTGAGTCAAGGGCTAATAGGGAGAATATTCAGCAGCTTCCTCTGCCTAAACCTAACTCACTCTATAGTAAAACTACTATATTTACTGAGTAGTTTCAAGTGTGTTACTTGAATTAAGAAATTCAATAACCAATGTAGGTCACTAAATTTTTTCTTCCTCACAGACAACTGACCAAAATGAGACTTGGCAACTTTGCAGACTTCCATTTAAAGTAAAGACACTGTATGGAATGAATATTTAGAAGACTTTTCTCCTTCAGTCTGTCTCACAGGCACATACAATAGGTTTACATACAGTTCTGCATGATTTTGTACAGTCCTTTATCTGTCAAATAACAATTAATTCTTTCTTGAAAATGGAAAATCCCTCTATTGTGTCTTGTAAGAACTTTAACTGAATGAATCTGCATACTATATATACACATAATGCATGATGAAAGAACTGAAATCTAAAAAGTTTCTAATCTCTTCTCTTGCTGCTTTCAATAGACAAAAATCATATTAATGTTTCCAGGTGTATATAAATAACAACTGCAATAGCTGCAGTTCATAAAAGTTAATACCTGGCAATTTAATAAAACCTGTCCCTTTCTAATTATTTATAGTAAACAACTACAAGTTTCCTTGATGAAATTAATCGCTAAAATTATATAAATTAAATTCATGAGCCAAAGCAAATCACGCCCTAACATTTAAAACATGTAATATAAAATGCACCAGAGTAATCAGACATCTCATTTTTGTTTCTCACGTTTTATACTCCCACCACACAGCCCTGTCAAGGGAAAAACTTAAAACGTGTTTTAAAATTATCCTTCGTTTGCGTTATTTTTCCAGGTGCCGTATCACTAGTACGGTGCTCCCGCACCTCCCCTATAGTTTCAGTGGAGGCTATGTTTGAAGCAATCGATGCAAGCACACTACACACGAGAATAAGGGTAAGGAAAAGGAAATGAAGAGAAATGCATCTTTCCTTTCAGCCATTAATTATAGATCAACCAACTATCACATTGCAGATCACACACCACCACCCCTTCGAGCCGGATATTTCACAGACATTGGTTCCAAAGAAGAAAAGCCCATACTTATTGTCACTGTACATGTGCCCGAGAACCCGGCTGGCTGCACTGAAATCTCACGATTTGATGTCTCTAAATATAGACTGCACGGGTTTCCAATGTCGGGAAGAAGCAGAAGAAGAGGACATGGACGTATGACTAAGTATTTCAATTTCGTTCCCCAAGTAGCAGAATAATGACAGGGACCACAACAGCCCAGGACTACGTGGAAGAGCAGGGTCTATTTCCCCCTCCCCTGGTATATTTATGACTTCACTGCTGTAACGAGTATATCATTGCAGGACGTTAGAGAATCCAGTATTGCTGATGCCCTACATAAGCAAGCGACTAACGTATAAGGGAAGGGGGGTGGGGGTGGAGGAGGCACAGGAAAAATAACACACTTTGTTACCTCTCCGCTGAAGGCACAAGCAATGTTTCCAGAGCCAGACACAGCTGCCTTCTAGAAAAGAGAGGGACCTTTGCAATGTGGGTACCAAAAGCCAACGCTTGCTAGCACCACCAGAAGCAGAGGAAATAACGCAAGAGCAGGAGAGGAGAAACCTGGCACCATTACGATCGCAATTGCACTCACCGAACGGCGTCGACCCTGCCTGCTTTTTCCCAGGCATACACAGCAAATAAAAGGCAAATCCTCAATCCGGTGGGGAAGGTGTGTGCGGCGCCCCCGGGCTTCAGTGCAAGGTCCTGACCTTGCCCAGCTGCAGCATCCTTCGCTTTGTGTTGTGGTACTGCCGTGGGACAACTGCCTGGTGGCGGCGGCGGCTGCGAGGGGAGCGGCTGGCTCCACATCCACCGCCTCTTCTAGGGAGGCAAAGTCTCTGGCTCAGTCTGTGGCGTCCCCCCCTCCTCCGGGGCTCTGCCAGGCTCAGCAGCCGCGTTCCGGGGCAGCGGCTGCTGCTTGGCACATCCGCCGCCGGCTGTGGCTGGAGACGATACAGTCACAGCTGCCGCTGCGCTCCCTTCTCCTCCCCTCTCCGGCAGGAGCGCGCGCCTGATGAGCCCGGCTGGGGCGGGCGGCTGCGCTCGCTCGCTCTCTCTGGCTCACTGAGACGCCGCCGCCGCCGCCACCTGCGCCTGGCGAGGAGGGGGCGCGAGGCTCCTCCCGGGCTGCGTTCGAGCACCGCCTGGTCCCGGGCAGGCGCGCGCCGCGGGCTTGCGGGGAGTGACAGCGGCAGAGCCCAGGCTGTGCGACGGAGCGGCTGCGGAGCTGGCCGGGGAAAAGGGGTTCCTTGGCCAGGCTTGCCTCAGCGCTGCTGCCGCCTTTTCCTTTGCATCCTCTCACAGAAGCCGGGCCGTTTCCCTCCCCGCTCCACGCCCATCCCCACGCGGCAGGGCGCGCACGTTGCTTTGTTTGAAACGGGGCTTCACGAGCAAAGGAGAAGAAAGCCCAGCACCGCAGACCCACAGAAAGCCATGGGCAGCGGAGTGAGGCGGGGGCTTTTGAGTGGGCACGAGTCAATAGCGCAGGTGCGTGTGGGTGAGCAGGACGCACCCGGCCAGGGAACAATGCGCTCGCAGGGGCACCCACGCTCAAGAACGGCTGCTGCACATGGGCCAGAGAAGGAGAAGTGGGAAATGCCCTTGAGTTACCCTCCGACGGGAGAGACTGGGGGAGAGCAGAGCCATGCGGCTGAGGTGTTCATGGGAGGCTAAGGCGTGGATGAGCTGGGCAGTCGCTGGTGCTGAGCAACCACCGCAGGCTGGCAACTACCTTCCCAGCGTTACCTGGGCTTGTTCAAACTTCAGGTCAACTAACCCCACCAATGGAGCAATTGCTTACGCCCCTGCTCCTATCTCCCTCTCTTTCCTCCCCCACTACTCTGAATCCCCCTCTGACTTGTCTTTAGATGGCAAATCCACTTAAACAATTTTCAGGAGTCTCGTTACAGACTGGCAAAGATGTTGAGGAAACACGACAGACATGTAAATTTAATTCCTTGCTATACGCAGAAACGTATACCCTTGCAACCATAACGCAGCCACCAGCCCCTTGGCGCTGTATTTCCTTGATCAAAGTTTTCTCCCTTGGAAAAGATGTTAATTTTCTTTCCTAGCTGTGACCAGAGCACAGCTATAACAATCAGCGAATCCATGTAGTCAGCTGAGCTGCCAGGGTGATACGTACATTTGCTAGCAATTCTTAGCTATACCAGGTCTAAAGAACCTGTATTCTAGTAAATGAAAACGACGTGTTTTTGAGCCTAGAAAGGAGTGGGGGGGAGGAGGTTCAGGAGGGAAGGGGGAGAGGGATATGAAGGGAGGGGACGGGTTGTTTACTTTTTTTTTTTTTAATCGTTGAGACCCAAGTACATAATTTAATTTTAGAACAAAGTCATGTAATCGGCCTGTCAACAAATTGTAATTAGCAGGCACTTTCTTAGCAGATCTGAATTTCAAAAATATATTTTCATCCAGACTGAGCAGACTCAGTAATAACAATAATGATTGCCTCCAATATCAGATTTCAGAATGACTCACTGCTGCCACCTTTTGCCTGGTGATTTCCACAGTTTTCCAAAACAACACTAAATCAAACCTTCTTATCAGACATGAAGAGCTCTGTATAAACTGGAACTTTTGTCTTTCTCACCAACAGAAGTTGGTCCGCTAAAAGATGGTACCTCATGCACCTTGTCTCTCTAATATCCGGGGACCAACACAGCTACAACATCACTGCATACATTATTCTTCACTAACATTTTAGTAAAAGTTATTTCCAATATTAATTTTGTGGGGCAATCAGAGACTGTATTTTAGATCATTACTTTGTATTCATATTAACTCCCAATGCCAAAACCATGATAAATTCTTTATATTTGGGTGTGCATTTTTTAGGGCTGTCAAGTGATTAAAACATGATTAATTGCGTGATTAATCACACTTAATAATAATACCATTTATTTAAATATTTTGGATGTTTTCCACATTTTCAAAGAGATTTCAATTACCTCACAGAATACAGTGTACAGTGCTCACTTTGTTTATTTTTATTACTAATATTTGCACTGTAAAAAAGAAATGAAAGAATTTGTATTTTTCAGTTCACCTAATACAAGTAATATGGTGCAATTCTTTATCATTAAAGTTGAACTTACAAATGTAGAATTATGTACAGAAATAACTGCACTCAAAAATAAAGCAATGTAAAACTTTAGAGCCTACAAGTCCAGTCAGTCCCATTTCTTGGCTCAGACAATCCAGTTTATTTACATTTGCAGGAGAGAATGCTGCCCACTTCTTGTTTACAATGTCACCTGAAAGTGAGAACAGTCATTCACATGGCTTTTTTGTAGCCAGCATCACAAGATATTTACATGCCAAATGCACTAAAGATTCATATGTCCCTTCATGCTTCAACCACCATTCCATGGGACACGTGTCCATGCTGATGATAGATTCTGCTCAATAACAATCCAAAGGAATGCAGACCGATGCATGTTCATTTTCATTGTCTGAGTCAGATGCCACCAGCAGAAGGTTGATTTTCTTTTTTGGTAGTTTGGGTTCTGTTGTTTCCACATCAGAGTGTTGCTCTTTTAAGACTTCTGAAAGCATGCTCCACACCTCATCCCTCTCAGATTTTGGAAGACACTTCAGATTCTTAAACCTTGGATCGAGTGCTGTAGCTATCTTTAGAAACCTCACATTGCTACCTTCTTTGCCTTTTGTCAGATCAGCAGTGAAAGTGTTCTTAAAACAAACATGTGCTGGGTCATCATCCGAAATTGCTATAACATGAAATATATGGTAGATTGTGGATATAACGGAGCAGGAGACATACAATTCTCTGCCAAGGAGTTCAGTCACAAATTTAATTAATGCATTATTTTTGTAATGAGCATCATCAGCATGGAAGCATGTCCTCTGGAATGGTGGCCGAAGCATGAGGGGCATACAAATACTAAGCATATCTGGCACGTAAATACCTTGCAATGCCAGCTATTCAAGTGCCATACAAACGCCTGTTCTCACTTTCAGGAGACATTGTAAATAAAAACGGGCAGCATTATCTCCCATAAATGTAAACAAACTTGTTTGTCATAGTGATTGGATGAACAAGAAGTAGGACTGAGTGGACTTGTAGGCTCTAAAGTTTTACGCTCTTTTGTTTTTGATTGCAGTTATGTAACAAAAAAAAAATCTACATTTGTAAGTTGCACTTTCACAATAAAGAGATTGCACTACAGTACTTATATGAGGTGAACTGAAAAATACTATTTCTTTTGTTTCTTTTTTACAGTGCAAATATTTGTAATAAAAATAATAATAATATAAAGTGAGCACTGAACACTTTGTATTCTGTGTTGTAATTGAAATAAATATATTTTAAAATGTAGAAAACCATCCAAAAATATTTAATAAATTTCAATTGGTATTCTATTGTTTAACAGAACAATTAAAACTGTGATTAATCACGATTAATTTTTTTAGTCACGATTATTTTTTTGAGTTAATTTCATGAGTTAACTGCGATTAATCAACAGCCCTAGTATTTTTGTTTTGCGTCCATATTCCCACTTCTGACTTGTTTTATTTCCCCTTTGGTATTTAATTAGCTAGTGAGGGATTTTGGGAATAATAAGTGTTTTCTTTCAATTTTAAGATTAAAAAGCAGAATTTAATATGCATTCTACCTTGACACTGCTTCATTTCTAAGTGGCTGTAGCCTCAGAAGGAGGACATTTGCTTCTAAATGAAGAAAGAGAAGGCATCACACAAGAGAACCATTCAAAAGAAGATAATCTGGGTCAGAGGGATCCCCTAAAATAAGACAAAAAGAAAAGGAGTACTTGTGGCACCTTAGAGACTAACCAATTTATTTGAGCATGAGCTTTCGTGAGCTACAGCTCACTTCATCAGTAAAGTGATGAATAAAATAAGACGCCACAATAGCTAGTCCTTCTGCAGGACACTTTACAAATTAGAGCTTTATCTAACTCAATCGTCTAGATTCAAATCAAAGGACAACTCTTAACTAAGCAAAAGTTTTGTTTCTCCCCCTCCACCCAATAAGAGCTGTGTTGGAACTCATCTTTCAGGTCTAGGGCAGCTTTAGGGTGAGAGTTTCAAAGGTACCCAAATGATTTTAAGATTGTGCACCTAGGTCACTTAGGAACCTTAAAAATTCCACCTGTAATGCCTAGTATTAACCACAGTGATTAGTACCTTATTTTGGGCTAGGCTGTGGATTTGCCACTGTCCCTGAAAAAAAGGGAAAATATAAGAGTATTATCAGCTGCACTGGCAAATTCATTAGGGGATCTATGAGCATGCGCCTGCATGCAGAATCAAATCTCTACCCCACTCCTTGAACCTTCCCACTGGCAGTAGCCCAGTCAGAGGAGCATGGGGGCTCCTCTTACTCCCCTGCTTTAGGGCAGAATGCAAGCATCTAGGGCAAGCCACAAACTCACCCTCTGATTCTTGCACCTTTCTGTTGAGAAAAATCTTGCTATGGGACAGATTGTGCCACTCTTATGCATATAATGTGATAAGTAGTTGCATTTTATTTATTGGGACTACTTGCAGACAAAAGATACTACTCAACATGAGCAAGGGTGACATAAACAAGGTAGTATTCTTAAGAATGGCAGCAGAATCAAGCAATATGTCAAAATTGCCACTCCCAGGGCAATCTACCTTGAAGGTCTTATCCCCTAGTTTGCATCTTCTTTCTGTAGTATATGTTCAACCAAACAAATTGGTTGAAACTATAGTAAAGAACAGAATTATCAGAAACTTAGATGAACATGATTTGTTGGGGAAGAGTCAACATGGTTTTTGTAAAGGGAAATCATGCCTCACCAATCTACTAGAATTCTTTGAGGGGGGTCAACAAGCATGTGGACAAGGGGGATCCAATGGATACAGTGTACTTAGATTTTCAGAAAGCCTTTGACAAGGTCCATCACGAAAGGCTCTTAAGCAAAGTAAGTTGTCATGGATAAGAGGGAAGGTCTTCTCAAGGATCAGTAACTTTTTAAAACAGGGGTGGGCAAAGTATGGCCCAGGGGCTGCATCT